GTTTAACTATATATATATATATATATATATATACATACATACATAAAGTAACTTCCATTTATACAGTTTCTTGTATTTGGGAATTATAATTTCTTACTTAGGAGACTTATCATGCACCTTGAAGTTTTGGTGTTTGTAGAACTATTCTTTTTGCTTAAGTGATGACATACAAATTGCTGTATGAAGGTAGGACATGAATTGTGCATCTCCTACTTTTTTTTTAAATGCTTTTTTGTCACAGAACAGGCTCAATACAAACACATATAAGACATCATATACCAAAGTTTCATTATATCATGGATATTTTTATGGGGACTATGACTGCAGTGGGTAAAATAACATATTATCCATCAACTAGTTACTACTGTCAAATAAATGCAATTGCAGTGCCAGTAATTTAATGTTATTAGTGGTTAAACACTGAACTTCAACAACATTCTTTAGGAGAAGGAGCTGAAGGTCCAAGTCATTTTTTATTGTTATGTTAGGTAAAAAAAAAGGCTGGTCACTTTCTGTACTCTTCAGGAATTAAAACTGGCATCTATTATATGTGCTTTTCATTTTATAGAACAAATTCCATGTTCTCATCCTTATTGACGTCAAAAATAAAGCAATATCAACTAAATGAAAATAACTATTTTGTTTTCAGTTATGCATTATATCAAATTGAAAAACTTTTTAACTCCAACTTGTCTGATCACTTAAAATTAGATTAGTACAATTTCATCATTAAAATTTCCATATTTTAGAAAAACTATTGAAGAGACCAATCACTTTTGCAAAAAAATTTCCAGAAGGGTAACTTGTTCTCGTAGATTTTACAAACAACAGAAATTTTCTGTTAATTGTTATTTTATGCTCAGTTGTGCACCATAAGAAATGTGTATCACATAGATTAATATTTTGTTTTATATCTATAATATTTTTTACTTCAAAATGATTTTGTGTGTGTGATTTACATTTGCTGTTTAAACACATTTCTCTAAGCTGCATATTTATCTAATTACTTTGGTTCCATAACTTTGTTGGATATAGGTTTCCTAATCATGTATGAGTTGTACAGACACACAAAACAAAGATACCATTAATATTGTAGTTAATCCTGCTAATCACTGCTGAGATCCAGTATGTATTTTACATAGGAAATGAATGACTGATTTTGGTATTGTTTGATTGGTTATTTACAGCGAGTGTTGTAATCAGCCAAAACATACAATTACTCAGTATGTAGACTATTGGTAGTGAAAAGTATAAAGATAAGTCAGTGATTTGAGGATTAACAAGAGAGACAAATATTGGTAACTCTTTCTTGTGTAAAAACCCTTTTTTTTTGGTACTTTCAGAAAAACAAAAGGACCATGTCACTATATCCGTCATTAGAAGATATGAAGGTAGACCACATGTTGAAGGCCCAAGCTCAGTCTGTGCCTTCTCAGCAACATGTGGAAAGTGCTCAAGAAGCCCTTCCTTATCCTGTTCAGCCATCTTTAGCCCCAGCTTTGCTAGATAAGTACTCATCTCTCTACCCTGCCTTGGATGAGTACATGGGGCTCTCCCTGAGTCCAGAAGCTATGGCAGAACATATGCCAAATGCTGTTGATCTTCTCCCACCAAGGCAAGTAGCTATACCAAATGCTTCTTCTTCACAGATGGTAGCACCCATATCTGGATCATCTCTTGGATTGAAACGAGCCGAAATAACCCATGGAATTCGAGAAGTAACCTTATGTAAAGATAATAATGGAAAAATAGGCTTACGTCTCCATTCAGTCAACAAGGGAGTATTTGTTGCTCTGGTCAATGCTGGATCTCCAGCTGCTCTGGCTGGTCTACGATTTGGTGACCAGATTTTAATGATTAATGATGAAGTTGTGGCAGGCTATAGCATGGATAAAGTTCATGGTTTACTGAAAAAGTCTCCTCCAGAGAAGATAACTATGGCTGTTCGAGATAGGCCTTTTGAGCGTACGGTTACTGTGCATAAGGATAGTACAGGTCATGTTGGATTTGCTTTTAAGAATGGGAAAATAATTGCTATTGTCAAAGATTCCTCTGCTGCTCGCAATGGTCTTCTGACAGAGCACCACCTGCTGGAAGTAAATGGCCAGAATGTGGTTGGGCTGAAGGATTCTGAAATCACTCGAATTATTGAAGGAGGTGGAAATGTGATTACTGTAACCATCATGCCTTCCTATATTCATGATCATGTCATGAAGAGTATGGCCAGTGGTCTCAAGAAGCTCATGGATCATACTATTCCAGATGTGTAAGAAAGTTGAGTAGAAAGTTACCACATTGAATGGGAATAAGATGAATGTTTGATAAATATTTGCCATGTGCTCTCATGATTCCTTATTATTAGATACATAAGATTTTACAGATGTGAATGTTAAGTTTGAATTTTTATTTAATGAAGTAGATATTTCTAACATTTTGAGGTAAAGTTATATTTTTTGTGTTGAGCCTGCAAGTGAATAATTTACTTATTACTATTAAAAAAGAAATTATAAAAGATGTTTTGTAGTACACTGTTCCAGAATTAAATGTTTGATACTTTCTGTTGTATTTCTTATGAGTATTTTTAAAGAAGAGTGGATAAGTGCATTTTTATGAAGTGCAGTTTGAGTACAGTTATTTTTCCAAGGTGTAAGGTATAAATGTATTTCAACGTTGTGTGGTAAATTACAGTAAATAATTAAGATATGTTAATTAAAACTGTGAAGTATATGTAACATTGTTTCATGAAGTAAGCAGTAAGTACATGCATATAACATGCATATGTTTGGAAAATTTGATACTTGTCATACTTAAACTTCACGTACACACAAGAGAGAAACTAAACAATGTATCCTGATATTATGCAGTCTATTAATGCCTGGTATGACTATTATATAGA